AGACCTCCATCAAGTCCCTGGACGGCTCCGTGGACGAGAAGAAGCTGCGCGAGCTGACGCAGCGCTACCTGGCCCTGAGCGCGCGCCTGGAGAAGCTGGGCTACAGCCGCGACGTGCACCCGGCCTTCAGCGAGTTCCTCATCAACACCTACGGGATCCTCAAGCAGCGGCCAGACCTGCGCGCCAACCCGCTGCACAGCAGCCCCGCCGCGCTGCGCAAGCTGGTCATCGACGTGGTGCCCCCCAAGTTCCTGGGCGACTCGCTGCTGCTGCTCAACTGCCTGTGCGAGCTCTCCAAGGAGGACAGCAAGCCGCTCTTCGCCTGGTGACGCCGCGCCGCCCGCACTGCACCTGTTCGCTCCCGCCGGGCCGCGCTGCCTGGCGAACTCGCGGAGGGGAAGGGCCGCGCCCCCCCGTGCGCAAGGCCGGAGCGGGCGCCTGTCCCGCCGCCCCGGGGCCCCCGCTGCCGCCCCACCGCGGAGCGCCCGCCGCCGTTCATTAAAGTCACCTGTTTGCTTGTCTGCCTTGACCTCTGGCTCTCGGCGGGCGTGGAGGGCGCCTGGGCCGCGGAGGAGCCCGAAAGAGCCGGAAGGCGGCGAGGCCTGTCCCAGCGTGGATTTCCCCAGATGAAGCTGGAGCGAGGATTTGGTTCTGGCGGAGGGTCGCGCGCTCCTGCTGGCAACTTGGAAACGCAGCCCCTTGTTCAAAAGCGAAGAATGCGAAAGGGCAACAGCAGAGCGATAGGGTGAAGCGGGGCCTGAGGACTGAGAAGGTGACAACACAGGCAGGGGAGCCCCGAGACAGTGAGGGGTGCGCCTGGCACCATCCCAGAGCAGGGAGCAGGGAAGCTTACCCATCAATTCCCCTACCCTGGTCATCTCCCTGCAGGAGGCCAGAACATCGAGGGGACAGGGCCCTCAGTGAATTGTCGGGGCCTTGGGGCTGAGGGGATACCCGGTTCCAAATGCCTGGAATGAGGGGCGTTTGCCATGTTTCGAGGGAGTCTTGGTTTATGATGCACAAGTCAGCGTGCGCAGCCTGGTCTTCGCACTGTCTCAGCAACAGTGGCGGGGAAGGCAGGGCTGTCACACTCCAATAGTTCAGAGCTCCACACGACACAGGGACTGCTGGGGACCCAGCTCTGGCTGGTAGTTACAACATTCAGGTCCCGGGTGCAGGTGGGCTGGATCCTGGGGGGGGGGCCCAACCTTCTGCCCAGGAGAGGACGGGCCAACTGGCCTGGGAAGCTCTGGTTGGGTGCTGATTTCTGGCCTTACCTTTGGGGGTTGCCTGTGGCCACACCCACACTGGGCTGGCACTGTGGCTGGGCCAGGAGCTCTGGGCCCCAGGCCTAGGCTGCAGTCACATGGTCTCAGCCAGGTGGTTCATGTCCCCTCGGGGCCAGCGAGTGGATGCTTCCAGCAAGCCTGGGGTAGGAAGGGCTGTGATGAAATTTATTTCGGTTGGGTGTGATGGGACACAGACACAGTACCCTGCCTTGAAAGGAGAGTGTGTCACAAAGTACTGCAGACCCAGCAGCTTAAGCCACAGAAACCTAGAGGGGGAGGGCACCTACCGCTCCACGCAGGCCACTGGGGAGCGCAGGGATGACAGGATCCAGGTGAGAGGGGAGAGTGCGGCCAGAAGCTTTATGGGATTTCGCCGGGAAGGAAGGCCAGGGAGGGCAGGCCCGAAGGAGCAAGTTCAGGACTGGACACGTTAATTTCCGTGGGCTCTGGGCTGTCGGGTGGTGTCCAGTTGACCACCGTGGTGCCCCAGGGTGACTGAGGGCAGGGGAACATCGGTTTGGTGAGTGAGTCAGATAAGGGGTGGTCGGGTTTACAGGCTCCAGATTGGTTGACTTGTGCATTAAAGGGGAGCTCTGTTTGCAGGTGCCTTTTGCTGCCTGTATTAGCTGGTCCTGGGAGGGCAGTCTCCGCCCAGCCAGTAAGGCGTCCGAGAGGTCAAAGCATCATAAATCAGAAAACAAAAACCATAGGTAATGCAGGACAGTGCAGTAGGCAGGTGGCATTCAGTCCCTGTGCTCTGGGTCTCTAGAAGAATGGGGTTCTCAGCCTCTGGCCATGGGTCCCCCAAACAGCCTTGGTGTTTTCCAGGCTCTCGGGCTTGGCTTGGAGTGGCCCCTGGGGGCTTTGGCTGGGGCGGTGCCATGGCTCACCCACTGTCCACATAGCGGGGCCTATGGACACAAAGGTGTCCACTGTGCTGGGCCAGCCTGGGGAGGCCCAGTGGTCAGAGGCTGGACCCCACCAGGCAGTGCCACTCCCTAGGCTGCAGGTGCATGTGGAACTTTCTGGAGGGCTCTCCTGCAGAGAGGGTGGAGCCCATGCCTGCACTTTTTCTTACTGTGCTATTAAAATGAGGAGAAATGGGAACGGGGCAAGGAGGGTGGCCCTGGGGTGGCGGGTGTGACCGTGTCTCCTGGGGTAGCACCCGCGCCCTGGGCACCCATCCTTCTCTCTGTAGATGGGAGGGCAGCAAGCTTCTGGGGACAGCGTCCGCTTGCTGGGACGGAGGTGGGCACTGGCCCAAGTGCACTCCAGGATTCTCCTGCGTGGGACACCTCCCTCCTGCACACAGGGGCTGTATGCAGCCATTTACTTATTGCACCACAATGTTTGTCTCATACTCTGGGCTAGAAGAGTGCTCTGGGCTCACTGTGTGTGTGACCTGCCTGGCCACTGGGGAGTGATGGTGGAAACCCTGGTGTGGGCACGGCTGAGATTCTTTCTCCTGTAAGTGGGGTCCCTTAGGGTCCCCTATTCAGGAGCTATTTACAGCACCTGCGAGCATTTCTAATGTCTCAGAGCTGCCCCCGAGAACCAGTGCTGGCCTCACGACAGGCCCCGTTTCCTCTCGTGTTCTCAGCTGTAGCCAAGCCCTGGCGCAGCTGCTGGGTCGGAATCCCATGCAGCCGCTGCCGGGGCCTCCCACCCCCAACCCTCTCCCCTGGGCCCGAGGACAGGGCCAGGTCTTGGCGCCGGCTCACGGGCGGATGGTTCCGGTCACTCTGCTGTGGCGTGAGGATGAAGGTACCAGCCCAGTGTGGGCAACCCTTGCAGCCGGCATGTTCTGACGCCCCGCACCTCGGGACCCTGGATACCTGCAACTGCCGTCACAAAGTACCACAGGCCAAGCAGCTTAGACCACAGAAATTTATTCTGTTACAATTCTGGAGCCCCAAACCAGAAGATCAGAGTGTCCCTGTCTGAGGCCTCCTTGCCTGTCCTCTCCTGGTCTTTTCTCTGTGTGCCTCTCCCGCTTCACCTCCCGATCCATCACCGCATTCAGTTCAGTCTGCAGTGCTGGGGGTCAGGGCTTCAGCAGATGGTTTCTGGAGGGGATGCAGTGCAGCCCTCAGCAGACTCCATCTTACCCTTCTGGCCTCCACAGAGCCCTGACCCATCCTCCCCTCCCGGCCTCCACAGAGCCCTGAACCCATCCTCCCCTCCTGGCCTCCACAGAGCCCTGACCCATCCTCCCCTCCTGGCGTCCAGACATGGATCTCTGACCCCATCTTCCCCTCCTGGCCTCCACAGAGCCCTGACCCCATCCTTCCCTCCTGGCCTCCACAGAGCCCTGACCCATCCTCCCATCCTGGCCTCCACAGAGCCCTGACCCCATTCTCCCCTCCTGGTCTCCACAGAGCCCTGACCCATTCTCCTCTCCCAGAGTCCAGACATGGATCCCGGACCCCATCGTCCCCTCCCAGCCTCCACAGAGCCCTGACACCATCCTCCCCTCCCGGCCTCTGGACATGGAGCCCTGGCCAGGGAACTCTGTGCGCCCCTAGCCTCTGAAGGTTTCTGGGCTTACGTAGCTCCTCTCTCATCCCAGTCGCCCTGAGTAGCCACAGAGGTGGGATCCCTTAGGCCCCCTTGGCTGGGGGTTCCTTTAAGAACTTCAAGTGGGGCTGGGCTCAGTAGCTCCCACCTGGAATTCCAGCACTTTGGGAGGCCAAGGTAGGAGGATCGCTTGAGTCCAGGAGTCTGAGACCAGCCTGGTAACATGGTGAGACCTTGTGTGTATTAGTCTGTTCTGATGCTGCTAATAAAGACGTACCCAAGACTGGGTAATTTATAAAGAAAAAGGGGTTTAATGGACTCAGAGTTCCACAAGGCTGGGGAGGCCTCACAATCATGGTGGAAGGCAAAGGAGGAGCAAAGGCACGTCTTAGAGAGTGCGCAGGAGAACTGCCCTTATAAAACCACCACATCTCACAGGACTATTCACTATCAGGAGAACAGCACAGAAAAACCCTCGCCCATCATTCACTTACCTCCTACAGGTCTTCCTGCCACATGTGGGGATTATGGGAGCTACAATTCAAGATGAGATTGGGGGTGGCCACAGCCAGGCCACGTCACCATGTCTACAAAAAATTGAAAAATTAGCCGGTGTGATGGTGTGTGCCTGTGGTCCCAGCTGCTCAGGAGGCTGAGGGGAAAGAATTGCATGAGTCCAGGGGCCAAGGCTGCTGTGCTGTGAGCCGTGATTGTGCCACCGCACTGCAGCTTGAGCGGCAGAGTGGCTTTGTCTCAACAACAACAAAAAAGGGAAAATAATAAAAGCACTGCAAGTGGGCGGCAGCCAAACGTGGGGACACATGAGGTCTCCCCGGGTGCCACTGATTTTGTGGGGAGCCTCCAGCCAGGGGAGCAGCTGCTGGGGAGAGCTGGGGCCTCAGCATCATACATGCCCATGCTCACGTGTATCCACGCTCACTCTCACACGCGTGGTCCCCCTCCCCACTCTTACATGTATCCACACTCACACGCGTGCTCCCTGCCCCACGCTCACGTGTATCCACGCTCACTCTCTCATGCGTGGTTCCCCCCCACACACTTACACGTATCCACACTCACATGTGTGCTCCCTGCCCCACGCTCACTCTCACATGCCTGCTCCCCTACACGCTCCTGTCTGAGCTGAGCTGACCTCGGTTGGGTTCTGCAAGCCAGGGCCTCACACTGGCCTCTTGCCCTGTACAGCCCTGAGTTCCAGGCTCCTTCAGGAGCAAGCACAGGCCCCAGGGGTGGCCTGGAAGGTCTCTCGGAAGGCAGCACAGGGTCACAGGGGTCACTGGCAGGGGCACAGGGAGGTCTCGTCACGCTGGGATTCCAGCCAGGCTGGCCTGATGCTCCTGGGGGCCCTCAGGGCCCACCCCTCTGCCCTGGCACGCTCTGCTTTCTGGGGAACCCACACTCTGGCTGAGTGGAGCCATCCCCTCCGGGTGGACAGCACCCAGCATGGCTCTGCAGCGCCTCCTCCGCGCCTGCGCAGGGCCCGTGGCCCCACTGCTCCTCGTGGTGACTCGCTGGTTAATGAGAAGCTGTGGGAGGTGCTGCCGGAGGGTGTATAAAGGTCCTGGCTGTGGCTGGGAGCCCTGGCCCCTGCTTCTGTCTGCCCCAGAGAAGAGCAACTAGATCGAGGTACTGGCCATGTCCCAGCTGGTGGAGTGCGTCCCCAACTTCTCGGAGGGGAAGAACCAGGAGGTGAGGCCCTGAGGAGCTGCTGGAGCATCCAGGGGCCGGTGGGGCAGCTGAGGCCCAGGCTGTGGAGGGGCAGTGGGCTTGGTGTGGCGTGGCCTGGCAGGGAGAAGCCACTCTCCGTGGGCCTTAAGGACGTCCTGTGGTTGGGGGGATGTGGGAGTGCCTGACCCTGGGTTAGGTGGGACAGGATGGCAGGTTGTAGGCGCTGAGGCCTGGCTGTGGCTCCAGGAGCCTTCTGGTGCTTCCGGTGGGGTTTAGGGCAGATCTCTGGGCCTCAAAGGGCCTTGTTCCCCTATTGAAAGTGCAGCCCCTAACACTGATGAAAAGGGCTACATGGCGTCACATGAGGTTGCTCAGCATGGCCCCTGAGGCCACCCTGCCTCCACTGGAGCTAGCGTAAATGACTGAGCCCCCGCCCTGCAGCCAGCTGCTGCCACTGTCCCCACTGGACCCGAAAGGAGACAGCACAGAGGGGTCAGGCAGGCCCCCAGGTCTGGCCTCTCGCCCTCCATGGTCCTGAGGTCCAGGCTCTTCCAGGAACAAGTGCAGGCCCCACAGGCTGCCTGGAAGGCCTCCCAGAAGGCAGCGCCGGGACACAGGGGTCACTTGCAGGGGTGCAGGGAGGCCTCATCACACTGGGAACCCAGCCTCCACCAAGGCCCGGGGATGTGGAGATTTGGGGCCGAGCCCCTGCTCCCAGCTGTCCTGCCGCCTGGAAGTTTCCAGGCCCTTCTGGCCCCTCCTCTGCTCGGCGGTTGGGGGCCTGGCCCTCCGTGCCTTGTGCCTGCGGTCACCTTCTTGGTTCCCCAGGCTGTTGGGGCAGAACCTGGGGCGTTCCTCCTGGAGGCACCGCCTTATAGGGGCCGGGCTTGGGCCTCTGTGAAAGTCCCGGGGCAGCCACTGTGCAGGTGTTTGCGGGGGGAGCTCAGCTCGTCGGGGGGTCCCCAAAGGCTTGGCCCACCTCCTCAGTCCACGTTTGGGTGTGGGGGTGCAGCCACCTCCAAGCTCCTTTTCCTTCTTTCAAACGGGGAGGCTGAGGTGTGGGGGCCGGGCCTGTGTCCAGGTGATTGATGCCATCTCGGGAGCCATCGCACAGACCCCGGGCTGCGTGCTGCTGGACGTGGACGCTGGCCCCTCCACCAACCGCACCGTGTACACCTTTGTGGGGCCGCCGGCGTGCGTGGTGGAGGGGGCCCTCAACGCGGCCCGCACTGCCTCCCGGCTCATCGACATGAGCAGGCACCGAGGTGAGGCTCCGGGTTCTCCCGTGGCCGCTGCGTCATGGGGTGTCGGGGCTGAGCCCTGCCCCGGTGTCCTGGGAAGGGCAGGAGGCCCAGGGCCCACGCATGGAATGTGGGGTCTAGCGGGGCTGGCTCTGGCTCTCCTCGGAGGACCCTGGAGTGTGGGGGTCACCGTCCCCCGACTGCAGGGCTGTGCTCTGGGGACCCCAGGTCGCCACGCTCCTGCAGCACTGGGCCACCTCCAAGGCTGGGTGGGGGAGGGGCCATGCCCGGGAAGGTCTGTGGCCTCTCCACCTGCCCACACGCCAGGGGGGCAGAGAGCTGGTCTTGGAGCAGGCCCTGGATGGGGGGAAGGGCTGCCCGGAAGCTGACCTGCCAACAGCCCACAAGCCAAACACCTCGGTGGCCGGGCAGGGTCAAAGGTGTGTGGACACATGGGCGCTGGCCAGGGGCTGGGCGGTGGGCTGCTCCTGGGAGGCCAGGGACGCACAGTGGCCCCTAGTGGTGGACGGACGAGAAGCTTATCTCGCAGCAACCAGCCCTGGGCCCTGGAGGCAAAGGCAGGGCTGGCGTCCCCAGGGGTGGGCCCTGCCCCAGAGCCTGGTGTAGCCACAGCAAGGGACTCAGCTAGTGAGAAGAATGCTTGGGAAACACAGTGTGGATTCCCTGCTTCAGGGAGCCACTAAGCCTGGCCAGGGGCTTCCTGAGAGCTGAGCATTGTAGCCATTAGAAAGTGATTCTTGTGACTTAGGAGAGGGAGAGGTTTATCCCAAAGATGCCAGACCACCTGCTCAGGCTGCTGCTGCTCCTGGACTGAGCGGCCCCCGACACTGGCTGGGAGGATTGCCCAGGAATATCCGTCGTCCCGGAGGGACTGGTGCTGCAGCTGGGGCAGGGCTGGGAGTGCCCAGGGCTGGCCTCCTCCCTGTGCTTAGTGTGAGCAGCTAGCTGGGTGTATGGACGGGGGGCTGCCCAGGCCGGAGAGGACAGAGGGTCTGAGAGCCCCGTGGGGCTCCCACCCACTCCCACCCCCAGCCTCCTGCTCGGCCTTGCCGTCTCTCTGCAGGGGAGCACCCCCGCATGGGGGCCCTGGATGTCTGCCCCTTCGTCCCCGTGAGGGGCGTCAGCATGGATGAGTGTGTGCTCTGTGCCCAGACCTTTGGCCAGCGGCTGGCAGAGGAGCTGGCAGTGCCAGGTAAGCGTGCCCCACCCTCCTCGCTCCCGCCCGTCTCATTGGCGCGGGTTCAGTGCCCGCAGTTCTCTGCCCTCGACAGCTCTTGCCAGGGCAGGTTGTTCCGAAAAGCCAACCTGCAGAAGTGCAGCTCCCTCAATACTGAAAGAAATGGCAGCCTCACCCGTGGCTGCGCAGGCCCGGGGCCCCTCAAACTGTACTGAGGCGCAGCTGGGCCGGAGAGCCAAGAGCCTTCTAGAGTACAATCATTTCACCTCAAGAAATCAACCTAAGCAAGAAAATGATACCAAACACACAGAGACAAACCCAGGCTAAGTACACATCCACCCCTGGGCTGTGCCACCCCAGCGCCCCCAGAAGGATCCCTGAGGCAGGGGCATACATCACTGTCATGCTGGCATGCAGGGAATATGTAACCCACGGCACAGTCACGCCGGCATGCAGGGCATACGTAACCCACGGCACAGTCACGCCGGCATACAGAGAACACGAGTTTTTCCTTTTCACTGTGGTTATATTTATGTGGTCGCTTGTGGCTCTGTTTATTATACAAGGAAAGCAGAAGCATGAGCGTCCAGTGTCACCATGTCCCACGTGTTCTATCCTAACCCTGCAATTTGACTTTTCAAGGCCCTGTGAGCTGGGGGTGGGTGGGGATGCTGGCTGAGGGTCCACGGGGATCACCAATATCCATCCGTGGCGGAGAGTGGGTACTGCCCGGGAGAGGGCATGGTGGGGCCCATCCCCAGGTTTAGACTGGAGGGAACCCCTCCACCTGGGTCCTCTAGGAACTGAGTCCTGGACCCCCTAGACTGACCCCGTGGACTGACCCCCTAGACTGACCCCCTGGACTGACCCCTGGACTGACTCCCTGGACTGACCCCCTGGACTGACCCCCTGGACTGACCCCCTGCCAACGCCTGACCGCTGGGCTTTCCTACAGTGTACCTGTATGGCGAGGCGGCCAGGATGGACAGTCGCCGGACACTGTCGGCCATCCGGGCTGGGGAGTATGAAGCCCTCCCTAAGAAGGTGCCCCCACCTCGGCGGTTGGGCCTGGGAAGGAGGGGGACCTGCCCCTTTGTCCTGGCGGGGGCGGCTGGGCTGGGCCCCTCCTTCCTGGGACCTGGGACCCTGGTGGGACTGCTCCCTCCCGTGGGGTCATTTCACCCCAGGGTGAACTTGCCCACAGCTCGAGCAGGCCGAGGGGGCACCTGACTTTGGCCCCAGCTCCTTCGTCCCCAGCTGGGGGGCCACGGTCACGGGGGCCAGGAAGTTCCTCATTGCTTTCAACATCAACCTACTCAGCACGAAGGAGCAAGCCCACCGCATCGCCCTCAACCTTCGGGAGCAGGGCCGTGGGAAGGACCAGGTGACCCCCTCACAACCCTCACCCAGCCCCGCCACCTGCAGGAGCAGGGCGGAGGGAAGGACCAGGTGACCCCCTCACAACCCCCACCCAGCCCCTCCACCTACGGGAGCAGGGCCGAGGGAAGGACCAGGTGACCCCCTCACAACCCCCACCCAGCCCCTCCACCTGTGGGAGCAGGGCCGAGGGAAGGACTAGGTGACCCTGTTCACTGACCCCTACCTGGCCCCTCGGGAAAGGGTCAGGGGCCGAGAGCCTCAAGCAGGGCGGTCCGGGTGTGGACGGGGCACTGGCCAGACAGGGCTCAGCCTCCCCACTGCAGACAGGCCCAGCCTCAGTGTCCGCACCCTGCGGGGGCAGCACAGGTCGCCAGGTCGGCAGGTCGAGGGTGGAGTGAAGCTAGGGACGCCAACTCCAAGGGCATTTTCCATGGAAGGAGGCAGGGCTTCCTTTTGTTAAAACGTGGCAGTGTTTCCATCCTCCTAGGAAACAGCTACTTCCAGAGTCCCAGGTGCCCTCAGGGGCACCCCACATCCCTCCAGATACCTTGGGGTCCCCGACACCCCTGCAGACCTTCAGGTGCCCCCAGGCCTTTCTCCTCCAAGTCTGCACAGCAGAGGTCACCCAGTCTGAGCGTCACCCTGGCACAGATGGTGTAGACACCTAGACACAGAGGTGGAGGGACTCCCTGCCCACCTGTTCCCCACTCAGAGCCCCGGGTCCCACAGGCAGCTGAGGTCCTGGGGTCCGGCTTCCCGACCCGCAGATTCAGCACAAAAGCACAGTGACCTCCAAGTCCCTTTTATGCCCTAGCTGAAGGCGGAGGTCAGAGCCCCCGCATGAGGAGTTGGGGACTGAGGGGACATGTTGGGGAGCAGGAGGGATGGGAGAGCGGCTTGGGGGTCCATGGGGCCCCACCCTACAGCATTTCCCCACATCTAGGGCAGAGCGTGGCTGGGAGGCAGGACCTGGACTGAGCGGGGCCTGCAGGGGTGGGTGTCTGGCGTCTGACCCTTGTGGTCGGTCTCTCTGTGGCAAGCGAAGTCTCTCTGCCCCTCCCTGGCCAACTCGGGGAGGGAGGGAGGAGAACCACAACACCCACCCAGGCACAGGCTCCACCCCATCCAGTTGGGGGATGCAAGCACCAGGAGAAGCTGGCAGGGCCAGGCAGGATGAGCTTCTAGCCCAGGCTGGGGAACGCTCTTCTTTTGCAGCCGGGACTTCTGAAAAAGGTTCAGGGCATGGGCTGGTACCTGGATGAGAAGAACCTGGCTCAGGTGTCCACCAACCTCCTGGACTTCGAGGTCACAGCGTTGCACACGGTCTACGAGGAGACCTGCCGAGAGGCGCGGGTGAGCTGGCCAGGGGGCAGCCACTGCTGCTGTGAGGGGCACGCAGATCCCTCCTGTGGGCAGGGCAGGGGCCCCATGTCCCCGTTCTCCAGCCAGGGCGGTTCTCAGCCTGCCCCACGTCCCCGTTCTCCAGCCAGGGCGGTTCTCAGCCTGCCCCGTGTGCCCGTTCTCCAGCCAGGGCGGTTCTCAGCCTGCCCCACGTGCCCGTTCTCCAGCCAGGGCAGTTCTCCACCTGCCCCACGTGCTGACACTGCCTGTGCTTCGGCAGGAGCTGAGCCTCCCAGTGGTGGGCTCACAGCTGGTCGGCCTGGTGCCCCTGAAAGCTCTGCTGGATGCAGCCGCCTTCTACTGTAAGAAGGAGAACCTCTTCATCCTGGAGGAGGCGCACCGGATCAGGCTGGTGGGCTGGGCTGCTGGGGATGGCTGCGGGGAGGGTGGGGAGGCGGCTGCTGTTGCTCACATCCTGGGGAGGCTGGGGCCAGCACTCACACCCGGATCAGGCTGGCGGCCTGGCTGCGGGGCCGACTGCTCAGACAGGGGCCTGTGGGAAGGTGGGGAGGCTGCGGTGGAGTTCACATCCCTGGGGCCCAGCTTTCCTTCCCCTCCCCCGCTTCGTTTTATTGACTTGTGCTCAGAAGATGAGATTTCACTTTTCATTTTCATTTTGGGAACTTTATTGAGGTTTTTTTTTGTGACCTATAATATGCTCACTTGTGCAAGCTCCACAGAGAGGACAGCACCCCTCTCTGCCGGGTCTCGCCTCCTGGGCCAGCTGTGCTCCCGTGGAGGGACCTGACCTCCTCCCACCCCCGGAATGGGCGGCTTATGGATGTGTGTGGCTCCAGCTATGGGGTACAGATCTCCATCCACGGAGCGGCTCCTTCAGAAAGTGATTCCCATTGTCTTGTGGACACCTAGGCCTCAAGGCCCCTGGAGTCTGGGTTCCTGGGGACCCAGGTCCTGCTGGGGTGTGGCAGCGTCTGCGAGACGCTCTCCGCCCTTCTCTGTCCTTTTACTCAAGGCCACTTTGTTTCAGGTGTGTTTTTGACAATAAGCACAATCCGCTTGAAGGGACGTTTTGGAGAGGTTTTGTCTTTTGGTGGTTGGTTTTGACCCTGCTTGTGTTTTACTGATGTGGCTCTCGTGGCTGGTGGACTCCGTCCTTGCATCGGCTCAGGCACATTTTCTCCTGTGAGATCAATTGCTGAGGCAATTGCTTAGTACTCTAACTTAGGGACACTGTGAGGCCGCAGCAGCTTTGGTGTCTTTGCCTCCATCTTCACCCCCCTGCCACCTCTTCCTCTTGCATTCACTGCGCTTTTCTGAAACCCAGCCAGCCTCTCCATCACGGCACATTTGTGGCCTAGTCTGTTGTATTCCTGGCTGTTACAATTTGTTTTTTTTGAGATGGAGTCTTGCTCTGTTGCCCAGGCTGGAGTGCAGTGGCACGACCTTGGCTCACGGCAACCTCCACCTCCCGGGTTCAAGCAATTCTCCTCCCTCAGCCTCCTGAGTACCTGGGATTACAGGCATGTGCCACCTCGACCAGCTAATTTTTTATATTTTTAGTAGGGACGGGGTTTCATCATGTTAGCCACCATAGTCTCGGTCTCCTGACCTCGCGATCTGCCTGCCTTGGCCTTCCAAAGTGCTGGGGTTACAGGCGTGACCCACTGTGCCCAGCAACAGAATTTTTTGTGACTTTAAATTTTGTATAATTTCTTACAGAGAAAATATGGGTGGCTTTCCACTCCTGCCCTCCACCCATGTTTTCCAAGTGCTTGCATTTTGCCCCATGTATTTGTGTATAATCATTTTATATTTTTTGCTGGCTTATTTAAAAGTTGGGTTGAAGACACTGTGCTCTTTTACCTCTAATTTATTAAGGCTGTGTTTCTTAAGAACAAAGACATTCTCTTACATAACCACACTATAATGATCAAAATCAGGAAATTCAACACTGACACAGTCCTACTACCGAGTGAGCGTCAGGCCATAGCCAAGTCGCATCAGTGTCGGAATCACTCGCATCAGAGCGGTTTCTCCTTCAGCCCACCATCCAGCTCCCGGAACACAGCACTGAGCCCGCCTTGCCTCCTGTTGTCCAGAGCTATTCCTCGTCTTCCTTGACCCTCACTGGCCTTGACGGGGTTTAAAAGGACAGGCTTTTCAAAGCTCCTCAGTGAGGATTGGTCTGACGTTGCTTGTGACCAGAAGTATTGTGCATTTAAAATTTTAATTAAATTAAATTAATTAATTCTTTTGGGACAGGGTCTTGCTCTGTCACCCAGGCTGGAGTACAGTGGTGCAGTCACAGCTCACTGCAGCCCCAACCTCCAGAGCTCAGGAGATCTTCCCACCCCGGGCTCCCAAACCGTTGGGATTACAGGTGTGCACCACCACACCTGGCTAACTGTGAGCAGATGGGGTTTTGCTGTATTGCCCAGGCTGGTCTCAAACTCCTGGACTGAAGTAATCCACTCGCCTCAGCCTCCCAAACCGCTGGGATGACAGGCGTGCCCCACCACGCCCAGCCAGTTACACACTTTTGGCAGGAAGAGCATAAATGCCGTGTGTTCCCCTGAGAGAAGCCAGATCCCCATGATGCGCATTTTCTCAGGTGCCCACGTGGACCAGGCACTTGGTCAGTGTGGCACCACCCTTCCACCCAGGCCCTTCACTGCAACGTTACTGTTTTTCCTTTTGCCACTAATACTTTGTGGGAGTACTTCAAGGTGTTTAAAGTATTGTGTAGGTACATAAATGCCTGTTTATCTACTGAAATTCCAGCATAAGTTTTAGTAGTCAGTGACAGACAGCCTTCTAACGGCACCTTCTCTGTAAGCAGCAGCTGTTGCTTCTCCACACGGCCTTGTCTTCTTATGTGTAAGGCCCCCTCTGCTTTCCAGCACGGGGTTTTGGGGTTTTGTCTTTTTTTTTGAGACGGAGTCTTGCTCTGTCGCCCAGGCTGGAGCGTGTAGTGGCGTGATCTTGGCTCACTGCAACCTCTGCCTCATGGGTTCAAGGAATTCTCTGCCTCAGTCTCCCAAATAGCCTGGGATTGCAGGCACCCGTCACCACCCTTGGCTAATTATTCTATTTTTTTTTTTTTTTAGTAAAGACAGGGTTTCGCCATCTTGGCCAGGCTGGTCTTGAACTCCTGACCTCATGATCCACTGCCTCGGACTCTCAAAGTACTGGGATTACAGGCGTGAGCCACTGCACACGGCCGAGTTTTGTCTTCTTTACCTGAAGGGTCCCGAGCCTGCGGCCTGCACGGGTCTGGCTACGCCCGTGGCTCCATGCTGCCTCCTGGTGGTGAGGCTGCTTTGCTTCGTGTCCTGTGATTTTTGGTTGTGAATGCAGGCTCTTTGGAGTTTTATCTATGGTAATCCTTGGACAACTGGGTTCAAAGTTTTCTCCTCCAAGGAGGGTTTGTGCTAGCGCTCTGGGACACTGCCCCACAGGACCCTGAAGCTGAGCTTTTGGCTTGGAGCCTTGGAACCACATAGGAGTGAATTGTGTGTCTGGTGAGGCCCGTAGCCTTGCAGAGATTTTTTTTTCCTGCTTCACCCAAAGGGAAGGCAGGGACTGGGAAGTACATCAACTGTTTCCTCTGGCGGGTGCTGTTTCTAATTCATCTTTGGGGATGTCACTTTCCAGGGGTCTCCAGTGGTACCCCACTCTGAAGGCCGAGACCTTCCCCACTCATGAGGGGCTGCCAGAGGCGGGCAGTTGCCCCAGAGCGGACCCGGCTCCAGGCTGGCAGGCCGCTCCGACTCGCCTTTCTGGTCTCGCCTGGTCCTGGATGATTTCCTGTCTGTTAGTTTGGCCAAGCCTTTAAAAGGCCACATCTTCCTGGGGTTTCCTGCCCAAGGAGGCTTTGCCTCGGGGGTTCGGGGGTTCGAAGGTCTGTGGCCACCAGGGAGGCGAGGGAGCGCTGGCTGCTGTTCCCCTCTGTGGGGTGGCGGTCGCATAGTCAACGCGTTCTGAATGGGTTTCGCAGAATGAATTCTAATCTTAAATAGGACTGTTGCAACTTTATTTTGAATGTGGGTAAAATTCCCTTTTCTGGGTAAGAGTTTCTGTGTGGGTGACGCGGGGCTGTTCGGGGCCTTCAGGACTTGTTAGACGTGAAGACATGGAGAATTAAACCGTTTGCCCGGGGCTGACAGCGATGGGCTGAGCGGTGTGGGGGGCGGTGAGGGATGAGTGGCAGTTGGCTTAGGGGTCATCAGGGTCATCAGAGGACAGCTCCTTTCTCTGGGCCTCAGTTTCCCCAAGGGCAACCCAGGGTGAGTGGCTGTATGGGGTGCCTGCTGGAGGGGCACAGGGCTCCTGGTGGGGCAGGGGTAAGGGTGGGGGGTGCCAGCCACGCTTCTGCCTTGCTCCCCACAAAGCGTCCATGTGCTCAGGACGGGGGCAGCTGTAGCAAGGGTGGGACCCGCAGGCACGTCGGAGGCTGTCCTGGGGGTGGAGACGCGCCAGGCGGTTTCTACCCCAAGCCGCTTTTCCAGGTGGTGAACCGGCTGGGCCTGGACTCCCTGTCCCCCTTCAACCCCAAAGAGCGGATCATCGAGTGAGCCTCTGCCCTCCCCGCTCTTACCCCTCCCTGCTTGGCGCCCCCCTCCCCGCACCCGGCCCACCACCCGGAGGACGCGCTCCCCCCACTCCCCGGAGGACTCACTCCCCCCACTCCCCGGAGGACACGCTCCCCCCACTCCCCGAGGACGCGCTCCCCCCACTCCCCTCTCCCGGACCCCGCCCGCCGCTGAGCCGCGCCCACCCCGCAGGTACCTGGTCCCTGACTCCGGGCCTGAGCGCAGCCTGGGCGACAAGTCCCTGCGCGCCTTCGTGGACGAGGTGGGCGCCCGCTCGGCGGCTCCCGGGGGCGGCTCGGTGGCGGCGGCTGCTGCGGCCATGGTGAGCCCGGGGGTGGGTGGGGGGCAAAACGAGGGGGCAGGGAGGGGGCAGTTATGGGGAGGGTTGGGGCCGCCCTGGGCAGAGAGGCGGGGGCCACACGGGCGGGACCCCCAGGGGCGGGACCCTCGGCCGGACTCACGCAGGGAGTACGCGGGTCCCCCTCTGTTCCCGGGGCGTCGCGGGCCATCTGGGGTCCCCGCGCCCCTCGCAGCCGCGTCCCCCACAGTCTCCCCTCCCGCAGGGCGCGGCGCTGGGCTCCATGGTGGGGCTCATGACCTACGGGCGGCGCCAGTTCCAGCCCCTGGACGCCACGATGCGGCGCCTGATCCCGCCCTTCCGCGAGGCCTCGGCCAAGCTGACTGCGCTGGTGGACGCGGACGCCGAGGCCTTCGCCGCCTGCCTGGTGAGTGGAGCCCACAAGCAGCCCTCGGGGCGCTCTTGCCTCCCCAGGCCCAACGACAGCGAACCCCCAGTCGGGGCCCAGTGAGAAGCGGGGAGGGGCCGTGGGGGTCGCAACTGGCCTTGACAACCAGCTCCGCCCTCACCTCTGGGGGTGCGGGGCCCAGCGGGGTTTGCGGGTTTGGCCAGGGTGACCCCACACTCACAGCCATGGCCGGGGTACAAGGAACTGGCGCCTCCCAGCAGGGGAGCCCGGGTTTGAGGGGGCAGCTCTCTGATGTGTGGAGACCTGACCGCACAGACCTGGAGCAAGGCGAAGCCTTTAAAACCCTGCCATTCCTGGAAAGGGAGGCGAGAATCTCAGGAAAACAGTGATCAGTGTTCTCAGGGAGGCCAGAGCGCCCCGAGTCAGGCCCAGCACAAAACAGAAACACCACCTTCAGATAACACCCGCTCAGGCAGTGACCGCACCTCCCTGCAAACGGACAAGAACGTGAGCCTCAGCTGGGAGGAGGTGCCCACTGACGGGTGCTGGCGCTCAGAGCCCAGGGCAAGGGCCAGAGAGCCCGGGGAAAGGCAGAGAAAGGTCAGGAAGCCACCTGAGCAGTTCCAGCTCAGGAGAGGACAGGAGGGGAGGGCAGAAATAGAGAGGGAGGGAGGGAGAAGTGGGGAGAGAGGGGAAAGGGAAGAGCGGGAGGGGGAGACAGAGAGATGGGGAGAGTGGGGGAGGGAGGGGGAGAGAATCCTGTGCCCCAGCCTCCGGAGCAGGGCAATGAGGAGGCCCCACCTGTGTTTCCGGGAGCTCCACAGACCTGCAGGCCTAACTTGGGAAGTCTCCTCCGCAAGGCTGGGTGAGGAAGGCAGGCCCTAAACGCAGGTGGAATGGTGGAATTGTGGAATCCGCAGCAGGCAGAGGGAGCCGGGATGAGGGTCTCTGCTAAGCAGCCTGGATTGGCAGAGGGAGTGGCCTAAAGCTCCGTTCTGGACGTGTTTGAAGGGAGGTGTAGACACGGAACACCTCTTCCAGTCATTTTTAAAGCTCAGGTTTAATTTATTTACTTTTACAATGGATGGGCCTTCAGGGGGTTCCCCTTCCGGGTTCCAGAGTTCCTCGGGCACTGCCTCTCCCTCCCCTTACACACAGCCCTGCAGGCTCCCAGCTTTGTCCCTGGAGTTTTCCGAAGTCCCCAGCGGCGATGCTGCTCACGGAGTCTGTTGTTCTGGGACAGGCTTCCCTTTACCAGGGAGGTTAAGCATTCTCCATACGTCAGAAAACGTTTCAACCCCTTTTCTCTTAGGTTTCTCTTGGGGCTTTCCCTGCTTTGTAGGACTTCTTTATTTACTAGGGGAGTCAGGCCTCCTTCTGGGTTCAGCTCCCCCACCCCCCATGTGTTGTTCATCATCTTTGGACTTTGCTTATGGGGGCTTCTTATTCTTTAGGTCGTCAAATGTACCAGTCCTAACTATCTTTTCTGGGTCTTGTATCACAGTTTAAACAGCCTCCCCAGGACAAGATGATCTTTTCTAGGCTTTATTGGGTTGATGAACTTTAGACCTGGAGCGGCATTTAAAAACAATAATCAAGGGCCGGGCGCGGTGGCTCAAGCCTGTAATCCCAGCACTTTGGGAGGCCGAGGCGGGTGGATCACGAGGTCAAGAGATCGAGACCATCCTGGTCAGCACGGTGAAACCCCGTCTCTACTAAAAAAATACAAAAAAAAAAATTAGCTGGGCATGGTGGTGCGTGCCTGTAATCCCAGCTACTCAGGAGGCTGAGGCAGGAGAATTGCCTGAACCCAGGAGGCGGAGGTTGCGGTGAGCCGAGATCGGGCCATTGCACTCCAGCCTGGGTAACATGAGTGAAACTCCGTCTCAAAAAAAAAAAAAAAAAAAAAAAAAAAACAATAATCAATTTAAATGTAAATATTAGAAATAGGCCAGGCATGGCAGCTCACACCCGTAATCCCAGCACTTTGGGAGGCCAAGGTGGGAGAAGACCTTGAGCTCAGGAGTTTGAAACCAGCCTAGGCAACCCTGTGTCTACCAAAAGAAAAAAAGAAATAAAGGACATAGCCAGGCGTGGTAGCAGTTGCCTGTGGTCCCAGCTACTCAGGAGGCTTAGCTTCGGGTGAGGGTAGCGTGAGGGCAGGAGTCTGAGGCTGCAGTGAGCTGATTGCACCGCTGCATTCCAGCCTGGGCGGCAGAACGAGGCTGTCTCTGCAGTAAATATATATGTTTATATATATATATAAATAAAATGTAGTGACAATTTTAAATTTAGAAGTAAAATAAGAAATAAGATGAGTAATTGGATAATTAAAAAAACAAGTAGAGAGAAAAAGTACATAAATGAAAATGTAATGAGGCAGGAAGGGAACAGAAATATAAGGCGTATAGTTTAGAGAAACATGGGTGGGAATGGGCAGACTGTGCCAGGCATCAGCGGTCACTCCAGTGGGTGAGGGGCTGAATTGTTCACACTACCTGTGAGCAACACGAAGCTGGACTTTTGAAAAAAGTAAGGAGACATCCTTACCTTGCACCAAGTACATAAGTGACTTCCAGATGGAATAGAAAGCTGTGTTTCCCCATCACCAACAAAACCCAGCCTCGCGATGAATCAGAGGAAACTGCGGCCTTGGCGGGCGGCCACAGCCGGTCACAGACATGGCCACATGAAGCACATGCTCAGCCAAGCTCTGCCCGGGGAGGCTGTGGACACTGCAGGGTCTGGCCGAGGGGGTGCTCATAGTGCCAATCACCGCGTGGGGATGGCGTCCCGCCTCTGTGCAAAACTCTGCAGACCCTGGCTCAGGAGAGGGGCTGCGGCCAGGAGGCATGGTCCCAACAACGCCCAGCCGGTCAGGGAGACACTGGGCATTTCTGCTTCTCAATCACCGCTGTTGGGACGGTCATAGAATCCAGTTCTGGCCGGGGCCCAGGGAGCGTTTGCTCCCATCCATGGCAGGGGGAAGAGGCCGTTGATGATGACTTTCTGGCGGAGATTTGGCTGAATCTTCCAAGATGAAGTGAGCATGTTCCCCATCGACTGTCCCTGAGGCTGGAGCTCTAGCCACAGCGGGTGTGAGCAGGGCTCCCAGTGGGTCCCTGTGCTCAGTCTTGTCCTAGGAAGTCAGCCTGTGACCCCAGCCAAGCTTGCCCACATGGGGCAGGTCTGAGGAGCCAAGTGCCTTGAGGTGATGCCATGAGCCACACCTGTGAGCCCTCAGAAAGGCCAGTGCCTGTGGCCGGGGAGGGGTGCGAGGGGCTTTGGAGTTTGCTGAGTTCGTCTGCACAGTCTGAGCCTCTTAGACCCAGGCTTGGGGCGCTGCAGCTGCTTATGTTGGAGACCGCAGCCCAGAGCCGCTCCTGCCCCACAGGTTCCAGGGCTCAGGGGACCTCCTGGGCCCTCAGGCTCCTTATCTGAGAATAAGGGCCCTGAGGGAACTGCCTGCCCCTCCCCACATCCCGGGGCTTCTCCGACCACCTGCTGTGCCCCTGACCCCGCCCACCCCAACCATCCACCAGGCCTGACGCCAAGGGCTGTAAACCACAGGCCCAACGATGCTGAAGCTCCGTTTGCTGAGAACTTGCCCCTGCCTGGGACACAGTCCTTGCCCACAGCCCCTCATGGGAGCTCAGAGGGCGTGGCTGCTTCCCCCATGGTCACTCGCCTGGTGGTTCTGTCTGTTTCTGGCAGGAAGCAATGAGGCTGCCCAAGAATACACCTGAGGAAAAGGACAGGTGAGCCCGGCAGCCACCCTGGGACCTCTATGTCTGGGGAGTTGGCGGCCAGGACCCCGGGTGCCTGTGGCCTCTGCTTCTGGGGAGCTAGTGGCCAGGATCCCGGGTGTCTGGGCGCTGTGACAGGCGTGGTTGCCCTGGGCGTGCTGGGTGTTTGGATGACTTTCAGTCGCCCATGTCTGCTGCCTGCTCAACCCCTTGGGGTGCAGTGTGGCCACTGCCTGCCCACGTGGCCCCTGTGCCCAGGCTCTCTCTTCTTCTCCCTTCTAGGCGCACCGCGGCCCTGCAGGAGGGACTGAGGTGGGCAGTCTCTGTGCCCCTGACGCTGGCGGAGACGGTGGCCTCACTCTGGCCGGCGCTGCAGGAACTGGCCCAGTGTGGGAACCTGGCCTGTCGGTCAGACCTCCAGGTAGGGGGACCCTGGGAACCCCGGGTCTCCTGCTATAAAGCAGGAAGCAGTTGTTGGGGCTCAGTCGCTGGAGAACAGGGTGATTTGCTTGGCTGAGCTGGGTTGGGAGACCTCAGTTCATGGACTCAGTTATAGGAGAGCAGGCGGTTTGTTGGGCTGAGCGGGGCTGGAGGCACTTCCTGGGGCTTGGGCTTTCTCCATCAGGGCCCACGTGTCTGCTGAGTTCTAAGATCTCATTCATGGTCGCACCACAGATAGGCAGAAACCCAAATGTGTCTGCAGAGCCCACCCTGACCACTGTATACGCTGCTCCACCTCCCCCAAGACCCCCCTATCACCCCACCCTCTGCTCTAGAAGCCACTAGGGACGGTGGCTCACGCCTGTATTCCCAGCACTTTGGGAGGCTGAGGCGGCAGGACCACTTGAGTACAGGAAGTGGAGACCAGCCTGGGCAACATAGTGGCCCCGTCTGTACAGCAGATACATGCACCAGGCACGGAGGTGCCTGTGGTCCCCGCTACTTGGGAGGCTGAGGTGGGAGAATTGCTTGAGCATAGGAGGTTGAGGCTGCAGTGAGCTGTGATCACGTCACTGCATTCCAGCCTCAGTGACAGAGCAAGACCCTGTCTCAAAAACAACAAAACACTGGAAAACATGCAAGACAACTCCTGGAAATGGACGCATCGCACTGACAGGCGCCAGGGCCGGGCAGTGGCTCTGGGACGAGGCGCGTCCGTCTCCAGCTCTGCACTTTCTACCGCCGCCCTGAGACCTCATGGTCTTCGGGTTCTTTACAGGAAAGACACTGTTTTCTGTGTCTGGTCCCAGAGAAGTGTCCCCTCAGTCCCCGGGAAGTGGCCCTGGGCAGTGGACGGGCCGTTAGCCTGAGGCTGCCTCCGGGGGGCCTCCAAGAGATGGCTTTGCCTCTAGAACTGTGGTCTCGGCTCCTAGAGTGGCAGAGCCACCATGAGCCCTGCTTGGGTAAGAGGAGGTGTCTAAGCTCAGTGGTGGAGGAAGCCGGGAGCCCTGCTGAGCTTGGGCTCCCCTCTGTGGGGCAAGCGTGGGGACTGCGCTGGGCTCCTTGTGGTGTGGACCAGGAAGCCCAGCCCCTCCGGGACCCTCAGGCAGAGACCCTCCTCCTAGCAGATTTTGCAGTCTTGATCCCTGTTGACCAGCTCTGCCCTTGGCAAGCACAATCCCTGGGGTCCTTGCAGGTGGCGGCCAAAGCCCTGGAGATGGGTGTGTTTGGCGCCTATTTCAACATGCTCATCAACCTGAGGGACATCACGGACGAGGCATTTAAGGACCAGGTGAGCAGGATGCAGGCGTGGTGCCCGGGACTTGCATGGGGGCCTGGATTCACAGCCTCAGGGTGGTTACTGACTGGCCCTGGGTAGCAGGGTTCTGAGGTTGCTGCTAGCAAGCCGGGTGAAGACTGGAACCCCCAACCCCCTCTTTCCGTGTGTCTGTCAGATCCACCATCGCGCCTCCAGCCTCCTGCAGGAAGCCAAGACCCAGGCTGCGCTGGTGCTGGACCGCCTGGAGGCCAGGCAGCAGTGACCTCACGGGAGGCCTCGGGTGTCTGTGGCCCCTCCCCCACCCATACCCAGAGGGCACAGCTGTGACCTTGGTTGGGACACAGCTTGTCTGTGTGGGCCCTGGAGGATAGGAGGGTGGGCAGAGGGGCGTCTCCCAGGAATGGAAGTGCTGGCAGGGACAGGTGACTCCTTAGTCTCATGTGACCTCCAGTAAACTCTTGGCACCAAACCTGCGTTGTGTGTTTGCGGTTTTGGGGGCAGGGCTGAGAGCTGAGCTGCGGGTCTTGGGGCAGGGGCAAGACACATGGTCAGGGGGCTGTGGGAGCTGGGTTGGAAGGAGTGGGGTTGCAGTGTGAGGAGACAGACCCCAGCGCCAGGGTCCCCAGATGCCTGGTGTAGCCGCAGCAGGCAGGGTCCCAGGTATTCTGGGCACTGGGGGTTTAGTGCAGGTCCCTGGGCCATGAGGCCCCTCATCTGCGGGAAGGGGCCTGGTTGTGCATGGGACAGAGGCCCTGGGGACAGCAGGACTTTTGGCGCTGGAAGGAGAGCCCGAGTCACAGGTGCAGCTCCCTGGCAGGTCTGGACAGCCCTATGGAGCTGCACTGGCCCTGTCCTCGGTTCGAGTCCACCCTTCAGCCAGCAGCTTCCTGGGGATGTTTCCTCCCCGCTGGGCAGCCTCCTGCTTCCAGAGAAATTCTCCATTAAAAAATAACTTGAAAAATCACTATACCCTCAAATTACTTCCAGATGGACTATGACATGTGATAGACGAAGTATCAACGTACTTGTCAGACAGCAATGCAGGATATTAAAAAGATTATTGGGGAGTCTGTCCTTGAGTGAGGCTGAAAACTCAAATGCCTTACTGCAGAGATTTCCATTCTGAAAACAACACACTTGCTCCTGGAAAAAAATGCTGTCACCAAGACAAATGGCAAGAATCCTACTGGGAGAAAAAACACCCAAGGTGTGTATGGGCCCAGGGCCACCATCACTCAGCATCTACAGTTTCTACACATCCAGCTGAGAGGGAGCGCTGGGGTGTGGATGCTGGGGAGGGGAGGCTGGGAGGGAAACTGGTGAGGGGACATTGGTATTGGGACAGTGAGGGGACATTTGTGAGGGGACATTGGTGTTGGGATGGTGAGGGGACATGTGTGAGGGGCACTGGTGAGGGGACATTGGTGTTGGGCTGGCCGGGGGACATTTGTGAGGGACTCTGGTGAGGGGACATTGGTGTGGTATAATTATTGGTGAAGGGCCAGTGGTGACGGGTAGTTGCTGGGTGGAATTGTGGGGTGGAATCTGTGGGTATCTGAAGTTCCTTCCAGTGGGTCTGACATTCCTGCCCTGCAGGATCTGAGGCTACACACACGGGAGCTGTCATTACAGAGGGGAGTGCCCTCTCCCTGCAGAGGCCCTGGGCGCCCTCCTGCGGGCGGAGCTTGTGCACCTGCAGGGGCCTCTGCCTCCTCCACCTGCAGGAACCGGGTGTTCACCTGGAGCACAGGAATCTGAGGGCTGGCACTCAGGGCGCAGAGTTTAGCAACACAGGTGGGCTGTCTCTTCCTGGCATTTGCATAGCTTTTTTGTGGGATGGAAAAGGAGGAGAGAAAGAGAAAATAACTGAAGTCCTTCCCTGGAGCTACAGGATGAGTGGTCAGATGAGGAAGAGGTGGAGTATGAAGAAAAGAGTGAGTCTTCCCAAAGGACAACAGAGTTTCGGGTGTATGGGGATGAACTGCATCCCCCAGGTTTCACATGTTAACCCCTAACCTTAACCCTACCTCCAGACCTCTGGCTGTGACCTTGTTTGGAAATGGGGTCTTGCAGATGCAGCGAGCTAAGGGGAGCTCATCTAAGAGCAGGCTGAGCCCTGGTCCTGTGTGACTCAGGTGAACTCATCTTAGAGCAGGCTGAGCCCTGGTCCCGTGTGACTCGGGTGAGCTCATCTTAGAGCAGTCTGAGCCCTGGTCCCGTGTGACTCGGGTGAGCTCATCTAAGAGCAGGCTGAGCCCTGGTCCCGTGTGACTCGGGTGAGCTCATCTAAGAGCAGGCTGAGCCCTGGTCCCGTGTGACTCGGGTGAGCTCATCTTAGAGCAGGCCGAGCCCTGGTCCCGTGTGACTCGGGTGAGCTCATCTTAGAGCAGGCTGAGCCCTGGTCCCGTGTGACTCAGGTGAGCTCATCTAAGAGCAGGCTGAGCCCTGGTCCCATGTGACTCGGGTGAGCTCATCTTAGAGCAGGCTGAGCCCTGGTCCCGTGTTGTGACTTGTGTCCTTATCCAAAGGGGACTTGGACAGAGAGACACACAGAGGAGTGGGCCATGGTAGGCTGGAGCGAGGCTGCCAGGAGCTCAGGAACCCCGGGACGCTGGAGAGAGGCCGCGGCAGGCCTTTCTCTAGGCCTCCAGAGGGAGCCCAGCCTGGCTGACGCCTCCAGAGCTGTGGTCGATGCTGGGAGTTGTCCAAGCTGTGGTCTGTGGTGCCCGGTAATGGCTGCCAAGACCGCTCCTGCCAGGCCAGCGCCTGCCCATGGAGCCTGTGGCTCACCAAGGTGCCACTGAGCTGAGCCTGAAGGACCCTGGGGATCTGAATAGGAAAAACCCACTGAGGTGGCCACCCAAAACAAAACCAGCCTGGAACCTGCTATCTCTGTCGGCCATCAATCATGCGTCCACCCACAGAAGATCCTCCCTGTGCAGTGATGCTCTCAGAGTACGGTGGTCCTGGCTGGGGCTGGAAGGAGAGTTTGCTGATCAAGGTTGCCGGGTCTGCACAGGTGGGGTCAGCCAGCACCTGCGGGTGATGTCCTAGGAGGGCAGGGCTGGGCCGGGGAAGCCATGGACCCTGGTGGGCGAGTGACAGCTGGAGCATTCCTTCCTGGGCGCAGGACAGCTTCGGGGTCCCTCCTGAGCACAGACGCAGCGAGCGGGCACGCAGTGGGTTCAGAGCGTTTTTATTGGGTCAGGGCTTGCTCCGGAGTTCAGGGCCAGGCAGGTCAGGAGCCTTGGGAGGGCTGCAGGGGGTGGAGGGAGGCTGGGCCAGGCAGGGGCTAGGGGACCCCGCGGGGGCTCTGGGGGTAGGGCGGGCCCTCTAGGGGGCAGGGCGGGCCTGGGGCGTCCTTCGAGCGAGCGCGGGGCCCGGGCCACTTAGCACCATGGACGGCCGGACCGGGCGGCGCTAGCAGATCCAGCGGATAAAGCGGTCGAAGAAGCCGGGCCGCGCCAGGGCTTCAAAGTCCTTCTCGCGGAACACGGCGGCGCGGTCGCCCAGGCTGAGCGTGGTGAGCACGTCCATGTCCACGTCGCCGCCCACGGCCACCACAGTGGGCACCACGTTCTGCTTGCGCATGGAGTGCACGGCCTCCTGCAGGCTGGCGTTGCCCGTGACGCCGTCCGTGAGGAACACGAATGCCAGCTCCGCGTGCCGCCGCGCCCCGCCGCGCGCCCGCACGATGGCGTTGACCGCGTGCACCACCCCCGCGCCCACGTGCGAGAAGGAGTTGAGGTAGCGCGCGGCCTCCAGCGCCTCGTGGATGGCCGTGAGGTTGTGGCTCAGTGGGAAGGCCACCTGCTGCTCCCCGGGGCCCCCGAACTGCAGCAGCGCCACGCGCGCGTTCAGGGGGTCGTCTTCCCTCCGCGCCAGCGTCAGCCGCCGCGCCACCTCCTCCACGAAGCGCCGCGCCTTGTGGAAGTTCTGCTCGCCCAGCCGTTCGGAGCCATCCAGCAGGAACACGACGTCCACGGGCCGCTGCGTGCACTGTGCCACCGCCAGCTCTGCGGGGAGACGGGGTGCGGGCTGGGCGGGGCGGCTGGCAGGACCCGGCAGGTGCCAGCCCAGTGCCCGCCCTCCACCCGCACCCTCCCCATGGGCCCCGTGGACGGCCGGGCTCTGCGGGGCAGTCCTGGGTGCAGGTCCTCGGCCCAGCCCCTTCAGGCAGCGCTGTTGGGAGCCACCGTCTCCCCTGCGGGTGCTCCCAGGCCCAAGACCCGGACACAGGCCCCAGGCCCTGTCCACCTGCTGAGCGCCATCCCTGCCTCTTGGGAGGGAAGGGGCCCCAAGACATCTTCTCGTGGCCCAAGAATTTGCGGCCCACCAAAGGGCCACTGTCTTTGTGGTGCGGGAGGGACTTCAGGAGGACCCCCATACCCCCCGCCTGACCACCTACTGGCTGGGTCCCAGAGCTGCCCAGAACCCCTAGAGCTGACTGGGCCTCATCCCTCCCAGAAAGACCAGGAGCCCCTGTACCGGCCATGGTGAGTGGCAGTGGGCACAGGGGCAGCCCAGGCGGGCTCTGCCCTAGGACTCCTTGTTACTGAGAGCGGCTGCCACCTGCCTGGGTGGTCACCAGCCTTGGGCACCCTGGACAGTGTGAGGGTGGGCCACAGCCACAGCCCAGGCCACCCACCACATACGTGGGTGTCACATGGGGCCAGAGACCACAGGATGGGACACGGACAGTCCACATGCATGGAGCCGGCCCTGCGGCCTCACTAGCACCTCAGCTCCTGGGATGGGGGAGGGGAAGGACAGAGCCAGTTTCCCCAAGGGCATCTGCTCCTCAGCCCACCCCCTGGACGTGGTCACAGCTGGTACACGGACCCCCAGGAATCCCTCAGGAGCGAGGTCCTGACCCTACGAATGTGCACGGAGGGCCCTGACCCGAAACTCGACCTCTGGGGGCCCTGGAGGTACAGAGTCCTAGCCCTGCTGGCAGTGAGCAAACCCCTGAACACAGCAGCGTGACCTCACGGGCACTTCAGCCTTTACAGAACACCCGAGACACACGGAGCGCGTCTGAGCACGCACGAGCTGGCAGACGGGGTTCTCAGCGAGCTTACGAGTGACGCAGCTTATTCAGTGAAAGAAAGGGCAGCCTCCATAGTGAGGCCCACACCTTGGAACCTGCTTAAATGTTCAGAAAGTTCTCAGGCACCACTGGGCTTCCCAAACCTCCTCAGAACTAATAAACATTTTCTCAGTTGTCACTACGCACATGGAGACAGACATGTCGGGGGGTGGCTGGTTTTGGGGGTCTCTCTCCAGGCATCAGTGTCTGTGGGGTCTACAGGAGATGGGAGGCCATGGGGGCTGGCTGGGCACAGGGAGGCTGAGGCTGTCGGGTTGTGTGTGGACTCTGCTCTCCTTCTGTGGGGGATCCTTTATCCCATAGTGGGAAGTTTGGCCTGGCCACCCTGTGGGGTGTGGGGCCGAGAACCTGGCCATGAGAAATGGCCACAGCCCTGCCTGGTGGGAGCCCAGCCTAGATGAACGTCAGGGTCCGAGCTCGACGTGGGGGCTGCGCCCTTTGGATGGTGACCCCTGCCACTCCCCCACGCAGTGGCCCCTGGGGTTCCCTGCTCAGGCTTCCGAGGACAGCAGAGATCATGCCTGGTGAATGCTCTCCCAACTGTGCTTCCAGAGGCTGGGCTGGAAGGGTGCAGGCACCCCAGGTCCACAGCTGCTGGCAGGCAGCTGTGGCTATTTGCTCCAGGGGGCATGACACCAGCCCAGATACCTCCCGGTGCCAGGACTGCCAGGTCCCAGGAATATCTGCTGCCCAACCCGAATGCCTTTATCCACCACCAGATGGGCTGGGTGCCCACGAGTAACCGTACACAGGATGGGTGCAAGGCTCTCCAGCCTCTGGGGCCTGTTTCTGAGGCTCCACTGGAACCCCGAGGGGGAGACACCCCCAGCACTCAGGCTGCACCCCACCCTCAGCGCCACCCTGACTCACGCAGCCCAGCTGGGTCACTAAGTAAAGGCCCCAGAGATTTCCACGCCCAAACCCTGGAGCCTGTGAGGGTGACCTGAGGGAGCAAAGAAGGACTCTGCAGACAGGAGTGAGTTAAGGGTCTTGCGAGGACGCATCCTGGACTTGGGTGGGCCTTAAATTCAATGACCGGTGTTCTTATAAAAAGTGGAGAGGCTGCAGGAAGACGGAGGGAGACGGGAAGATGAAGCCGCCGCCCAGGGACACGGCGGCCACCGGGGTGGGGAGAGGCAGAAGGCGCCCCAGAGCCTCTGGAGGGCCTGCGGCCCTGCTGACCCTCCGATTCCAGACTTCAGCCTCCATGGAGAGCCAGCCTGCAGGAGCAGCCCTGGGAAGCCTGCATGGCAGGGAGGGGCCGGCCAGGCTGGGCGGCCGCCAGGGCTTCAGCAGAGGGCCAGCGCAGTCTCGGGATCCCCCACGATGTCCCTGTGCACCAGCTTAAAGGTGTCAATAAACAGCTCCATCCAGTCCTGCCGCTCAACCCCAGTGGCGAACTTGGCCCGCTCTGCGGTGTAGACCAGCACGGCCACCAGCTGGGAGTAGGCGGCTGGGTCCTGTGTGAATTCCGTGGCGTTTAGCAACTGTTGGATCAGGGGGATGGTCCTGGGGAAGGTGGCGTCTGGCCCCTCTTCCGTGCGGAGGAAGGTGACCAGGGGCTCGCCGCCAGGCCACGGTGCATCTGCAAGGGAGTGTCCAGAGAAGACTTTGAGGCCGGGGTGGGCGTGACCTGTAGCTGCTGCTGGAAGACCCACTCTGCGAGACCAGACAGAGGAGCGGCACCTGGGCCAGCGAGGTGGTGGCAGAGACGCAGGTGGGGTGTGGGGCAGTGTGTGGCTTGGCCTTGGCAGGAGGCATGGGGGCAGTGGGGGGTGGCGGGGAGCGGGCAGCGGGGGGACAGGGAGTGAGGAGAGGAGGCCAACATGGCGGCATCTCTGGGGGACACCACAGACCTCAAGAAAACCTTTCAGCTCAAAACAGCTCCATTCAAACCTGTGCTGAGAAACGCACCAAACTCCAGCAGGCTCCCAGTGCCCCAGGCCCTGTTGCCAGGAAGACCCTGGCCAGCCCCCCTTCAGGAGCCCGCCTGGGGAAGCCTGCAGTGGGAAACCCTTCCTCAGCCCCTGAGATGTGAGTCCTCGATTCCAGAACTTTCCTCCCCCTGGGCCCCTGAAATGCCTTTGCTTTTTCTTTCCACTGGGCAGAACTCAGGTTGTGCTGTGGCCCCCATGTAGCTCTTATCACTGAGCGGGCTCCGCCTCCACTGCCTTCCACCACGTCTGGCTTGTTTCTCCAGCACCCTCTGGCCCCAGCGCAGCTGAGACACCCACAGGCTGGGTGCAGGCCCAGGGGGGCTGGGCTTCGGGGTGGAGAAGGCCAGGGCCAGCCCACAGCCAGCAGCATCCACCCAGCGCCCAGGAGGGCCAAGGAGGATGCCCAGGCGTGCACGCTGGTGAAAGCCAATTTAACGCTGACCCTGCTATAGCTCCTGGAGCCACAGGGTCAAGTTCACTTTGAAATTACAAATAGTTTGAATGGTGGATGTGCTCTGGGTGTACTGCAGGGGTCAGGGAGGCCGGGGGGAGGGGAGGGGTTCAATGGGGACTGCTCCAACTCACTGTCATGTCCTGGAGGCCTCAGAGGAGGCCAGAGCTTCAGGGCCCCTGTGTCCTTCCTGGCTGCTTTCCCTGTGGTGCTCTGGTGGCCTGAGTGACCCACTCCCAGGAGGGAGAACTGGCTCACCCCGGGTCACCATCTTGGTGGGAGTCACCATGGAACCCTATGAGACCTGGGTTGCCTGAGGCCTGAACCAGAGACATCACAGGAAAGGAACGTGCAGGCCGATGTCACTGATGAGCACAAACCCTCAGGAAGTCACCAGCAAATCAAGGCCCACACGCATGAACAGAGCTACTCCCCATGCCCAGGTGGGTTATTCCAGGCATGCAGGTTGGCTCGACGTCTGAAAATCAACAAAGCTCAATGGCTAACTCCCAATTGCAATGATAGGCCAAACAGGAAAGGTAACATGACATCCACAGACGCAGAGAAAGGACCTGCCAAGATGGCAGCACCCACTCACGGCAGAACCCGGAGTGGAGGGAAGCCTCAGCACCCACTCACGGCAGAACCCGGAGTGGAGGGAAGCCTCAGCACCCACTCACGGCAGAACCCGGAGTGGAGGAGAAACTCCCAGCACCCACTCACACTAGGAGAAACTCACAGCACCCATTCATGATATAACCCGGAGTGGAGGGAAGCCTCTGTCCAACAGAGAGCAATGAGTCCACAGTGAACGTTGCCATGTCGCCCATCACGGGGTCTGAGGTTTCCCTGCCCCCTCAGGAACAAGGGTGGAGGGGCCAAGGTCTGGTTCCTGCCCTCAGGATCCAGCTGCCCTGGTGCTGGTGAAGGCCCTGGCAGACCCTGGGGAGGATGCCCACACCCCAGCAGAGGCACAGCCCATGTGTTGTGGGGCCCGAGGCTGCCCACCTGCTGAAGGGCGGCTAGACCCAGGAGCAGCCTCCAGTGTGGCGAACCCTGGCCCCTAGTCCACGGCTCCTCCCCTGGGGTGGCCTCAGGGCCCATGAATATGCTCCGTGGCCCTCCTCACCCACCAAGAGCTCCCCACGAAACGGCTGAATGCACACCCTGACCCGTGTGTGTGAGGAAGTGCTGACTTCGCACCGCAGACCCTGAGAGATTTCCTCCCCCGGTCCTCCAGGTCAGACCCTCCCACCCTGTCTCCGTGGCGTCCCCAGCTTACACTCTGGGAGGGATGGCTTGTGGAGGGGGACTAAGCTTCTCATGCCCCCGGGCACCTCCTGTGGGCCCGGTCACCATGGGGGCAGCGCCACAGCCAGGAGAGCTTGGACGGCACTCTAAGCCCTGGGCACAGGCAGAACCTCTGCCTCGGGCACCCCCAGTCCAGCTTCGCACCCACGTGGACCACATCCAGGACAAGGGCTCCTGAGAGCTAGCCACCCCCACCCCCAGAGATGAGAGCTGAGGCCGAAGCTCCGAGACTGGGCAGGGTGGGAGCAGGATGGGCTGGCGCTGGTGGGTGTCGGTGCCTCTGCACCGTTCTGAACTGGATGGTTCCTTCACTGAATCCAGGGCTTCCTCCCAGTGCCATGTGCACGGACAGCCCATGGGAGCTGCGGTGCAGCTGGGGGGAGACTGCAGGGCCCACAGTGGGCCAAGACCAGTGGCCACATGCCCAGCACAGCGCCAGGCCAGCAGCCCCCGTGCTGCCGGGCCTCACAACGCCATCCTGCGTTCCCTACCCTGTGCCGCCTTCCCAGAGCCCCTCCTCCCCTGTGCTCTGGGCGGGGTTGGGGGGGGCATCTCATGGAGGAGCAGCCTCAGCAGTGGCTCCTTCACAGCCCCTCCCCCAGCCCAGCCCTGGAGAAGAAAGGACACCGGGGCTCCTCTGCTAGTCTGGGGTGGGGGCTGGGTGCCCTGCATTACCTGTTTGGCAGGGAAGGTCTGGGCACACGATCTGAGGGTCTGGAAGAGAAGAGAGAGGCCGGAGCGGGGTCAGTGGCCCACGAGTCTGCCCAGACAGGCTCAGGGTGCAGCTGGCCTCGCCCTGCAGCAAGAGGCCGACCCCTTCCCACCCGGAGCCCGGCCCCGGGCTGCACATTCGTCCCTCGGGTGAGGGTGTCCTGGGGCCTGTGCTCCGTGTCCGCTGCCCTGCGCCCACGCGCTCACCTGGGCAGAGGACATCCTCCATGTCGTCGATGAACTTCTCAGCCACCAGGTCGGAGAACAGCGTCATGTTGCGCACCTGCTGCGGCTTGTCGCAGGCGATGGAGTAGAGGTTCTCACTCTCGTGCTTCTCGTGGAACATGTCCCCGATGCCGATGGCCGTCACCGTGACGTCGCGGTCGCACAGCGCCCGCAGGTTGAGATCGTCGTCCCGAGGGTCGTGGCGCCCGTCCGTGATGACCACTGCGAACACGCGTGTCTTCTGGCGCCGGCTCTCCTTGATGAGGCGGTCGTAGGCAAACTTGAGGGCCGAGGGTGTCCAGGTGCCGCCCGCAATCCACTCGAGGTTCTTGACGGCCTCCTTGAAGCTCGACAGGGAGTCGATGCGCTCGTCGTCCAGCTGGATGGCCTCAAAAGTGCCCTCGTGGCTGTACTGCACCACGCCCACGCGTGTCCCTGCAAGCCGCACACGGGAGGCGTCACCTGCTGCCTTGGGGCCTGAGGCATCCCGGCCGGGCAGAGGCCCTCATCGGAGGGACACATCTGGGCTTCTCCTGTCCCCTCGCCTCCCATGTCCCGTCCGCCCCTGCCCCGCCCGTGCCCGTCCCTGCTGCGCTGACCTGTCTTGGACTTGGGGTCCTTAGCAATGGCGCCCAGCCTGTTGACCACGTTGATGACAAAGTTCTTCTCCAGCGTGAAGTTGGTGTACCCAATGCTCTCGGAGCTGTCGATGACGAAGACCACGTCCAGGGCGCCACAGCGCTTCTCACAGTCTGGGGAGTGGCAGGGTCAGCGGGGCGCACTGGGAGATCTCAGACCCCAGGGCCAGGCGCACATGGGGGACCCAATGATGCCCTGCCCCGCCGCGTTCCCACCCTCTGCCCGGTGCTGGCCCGACCCCGCCATGGGCAGTGCCTCACCGCAGCACCCACAGGTCTCTCTCACGTAGGTCATGACGTCACACTCCTGCAAGGCAGGCATCAGGCAGGGCAGTCCCCCAGGGGCCCAGAGGAGTTTCCACAGCAAGGTCCTGGCCCAGGGGCCCCAGGACACTCCAGCCCATGCGTGGAGGCAGCCAAGCGGGGACGCAGGCAGGTCCTGTCCCTGCCAACCTCACTGCCGCCCTCCTCCCCTACCATCCTTGCCCTCTGGCCTCCCCCTGCTGATCTCCTCCTCCTGACCTCCCCCTGTTGACCTCTCCCTGCTGACCTGCCCCTCCTGACCTCCCCCT